GTAACGTGGGGGTATAAGGGTGACAGTGAGGGAGGAGGCAGGGGTGGTGATAGTGAGGGTGGCAGGGCCCCATGTGGCACCATCAGGGGGCCACGTCTGATCCACAACCACCCCTCACCCTGCCCCACACTCCCACAACCTGCACCACCAAAACCCTGCACAACCACAACCTGCACAACCAAAACCCCAATACCCAGACCCCACCACAGACCGCTTCGGGTTTTGGCAGACGGTGACGAGTTTGTTCCCAGTCCCCAGACTTGATGAAAACAAAGGGAAAAAAAGCCTTTGTCCACGGGAACAAGCCATTTAATGGGGGGGCTTTTGATTATTCTTCATGCCCCCCTGATGAACATCATTGCAGGGAAAAAAACCATACTGTGATTACACCATGGCAAATACAATTCTCTCACCAAAAAATCCGGCTAACAAGGGGAAGGGAGACATTGGGGCAGAGATGTACCTGTTTTTTCCCAAATAATGTTTAGGGGCCACATGTGAATAAGCACACTGTCACCCATACTGGGCAAAAAGAACGCCTGATTTTTAACTCCAGGTTTTTTGGACATTAAGGTTCAATCGTTTCCGATACTGTTACGTAGTTGCCTTTTCAACAAAACCAGGCCGACAGAAGCGAAGGTTTTTATAAGAAAAAATTTGGGGTTTTTGTACCTGAAACAAAAAGGGTCTGTACTTTTTTTCCCTTCAGGAAGCTTTTTTATTTATGAGTCCTTGATTTTTTTTCAAAGGAAAAATCTCATTCAAGCAATATAAAACCAAGCAAGAGGGGAACGCTTTTTGGTATAAAGCTATTTGTCTGTGTGATTTTCAGAAGTGGTTCTAGTTTTGGATATAATTGTGACACTGGCAGTAATACTTTTTTAGAGATACCATGAAGTTATTGGGGGATCCTGGGAAAGTGGCGACTGATGGAACCTTTTTCTTTGGGAAGGGGCTATGTTATTTACTGATAACTGGGACACATGCCCCCTTTTCTCAGTGATTTCTTGCGGGGGCTTGACTGACGTGTGTGGCACAGTGGGGGAATCGTAAACTATCCAAGGTTCAGCGCTGGCACTCAAGTAGGTCAGCTTTTGCGCCAATGACATCATGGCATTTCGGGGGCCAAGGGGCAAAGTGATGTCACATTGTTGACATCAGTTCAAGAAACGAAATGGTACCCCGTGGCAGGGAAAAAAGAGAGACCAATGAACCCATTCAAAAACCTGCAGCTGTCATGGACTACAACCCCAATATGCCTTAGTGGACAAATGTGACATGCAGATTGGGTTTGCAGATGTGTACGCAAGATTATAAGTGGTATAAAAAAAACTTTTTTTCCACCTTGTTGATACTCTATGCTAAATGTTTTAACTATACAATTGAAGACCAAAAAAACACCAAAATAGTGAATTTTTTCCCGTCAGTATCAGACAAAAAATTTCAAAGACCAAGGAGCAACTCCTGCTAGACCACGCCCACACACGTCACTCGTTTCAGGCCCGGGGATCACTACCCCATACAATGCCCCCCACTCGCCAAAAAAATGCTCAGAAAAGGTGTTTTGTATGTATGCATCTACCACAAAAGCCACAAACCCGCACTCGTTTTTTGTGAGGGTGTGGGAAGTGCCCCTCTGCATATACCCAGTTTTTAAAAAAGTTCCACAAGTGCAGCAGTTCAGGGAAAGTGTTTAGTGACTGTACAATGTATAAAATTTTGGAAAAAATAGTAAAAAAAAAATTGTTTTTTTATTGTTTGTGTAAAAAATGTTACACAAACTAATAGGAAAAGTTTATTCTGTTTTTGTGTTGAAACAAAAGTTATATTTGAACAAACACCTTACATTGGTTCACAGGCCAGAAATTACCTGGGAAAAGAAAAATATTGAAAAAAAAAAGCAAGAAACCTTTTTAATTAGAGAAATAAAATACCCCGGGGGGGGGCGGTCGTGCTGTTGCCGTACGCCATCACTTTCTGCAAAAATTTTCGGCTATATCTCTAAAAATGAGGCAAAAAATTTTTTTTAGGCTTTTTAAAAACACAAAAAATATTTCCAACATTTTCATAAGAAAAAATAATTTTTTTTTTTTTTGAATTTTTGGCGACATAGGTTTCAGAGAGGGGCCCCTGAAAAAGTCAAAGGGTTATAATGCTAGGAGTTATTAAAACACATTTAAAATTTAAAAAATCAAAAAAAATAAAAATAATTCTCTCCCGGTAATGTATTGTGCGAAGGCCCTATCACATTTTTTGCTTGAGTCCTCTGGTAATTAAAATTTTAATAATACTAAATAGTATATACAAAAAAAGTTTGTGTGTAAGTGCTCAAGTAGTTTGCTATGTCTCACACTCTCTAGACTTAAAATAATGATGACAAAACCTCACATCAACTAACTTCTTGACCAACCTGGGAATCAGAAACCTTGCTTGAACAATAAAACATGAAAAGCCGAAAAACCCAATTAAAACAATAGCGACACAATCAAAAAAGGAGATAATATAAGACACTAAGAAGGGGACCATCTGCAGATCCTCCACAAAATCACAAAACCCCCATATACTGAATTAATTCACATTAGAAAATCCCGCTGTGACAGTACACACAGTACAAATTAGGTCAGAAGCTACAGTCAGGACCTGAGTTTCTCAGGGCATGCACACACAACCTCAGTACAAATCTAAAATCACTAAATCAAACAATGTTTTGTGAACAAGTTCCCAGAACCTACAAAAATAAAAACGACAGAGACGTCTTCCAACAAAGGCCCAATAAGGGAAGTTAGGGGACTTTTTTGTCAGGAATACGTCCAACCACCAAGAGAGTCTCCCAGACTGACTACCCAGGGGAGGTGTGAACACCACCCTCGATCACGGATACCCCGGGACAGTTGCTGCCCGCAACACAGAGAACCGGCAGAGTTTAAAGAGCCAAGCGAAAATTCGTGTTTAACAACAAACTTGAACAGCACATAATAATATATGAATGAAATCCACGTAACAAAAAATAAGCAAATAATAAAAAAGCAAATTTTTTAAAGATTTAGCTATTATCGCAAATATAAGCAATATAAAATTATATGAAAAGGTAATGTACTTTATATACATTGTGACCCATTCAGGGGTTGCAACAGGGAGGATTCAACCAGACGGCGACTGTTAAAGTTGGAAGTAGGGAAGACAGTTTTAGCTGTCAATAGGATGGCTATGATCTCTGACGTGACAGAAAAGAGCATTATTAGTGTCGGCAAGCCTAACAATATTTTTCGTGACTCTCTCCTTCCTGCTCTTGTTAGTCTGTTTTCTAAAATCCACCACCTTTCGCGCCGTTACCAACTTGCCCTTTCTTCTCTTAAATCGAACACTAGCATTATCATACTATCTTCTGACAAAGGTACAGTAATTGGGTAGTTACCCTTGATCGCGAGGATTACCTCCATAAAGCTGATGTCTTGCTCTCTGACTCACGTGCCTACACTCTTCTCTCACCAGTTCTACTGTTCTTAAGCTTAGGATTACAATAATTTAATCATGTTATAATATAAAATCGTCATTTGGCATTGTTACAATGTCGGAGGAGCTTAACCCATGCAGTACTGCTTGACACGCCATGATGTAAAGGAGCATGTCACTCTGGGGTGCTGTAAAGTTACATATTTGTTATTAACAATTTTTATTTAGGTATTTTTTTTTTTCAGAATTGTATAAAAAACACTACATCTCGTAAAAACCTAATAAAAACACCCGTAAGGGAAGAAATTGACATGATGGGAGATGGATGTATGGCTGTAAGGCTACACAGCTAGGCTTAGGGCTCAATTCATGTGTGTCTAATGCTGTAACTTGTGCTATGTTGATTTGCATCCAGTGCCATACCTCAGCCCCACACCAACTGTTCATTCAACACCCCCTTTCCCCTCCTCATGGCCACACCCTCACTGTACACCCAGCAGCACTCCTGCCCACAACCATCCACTCATACCACCTACCCCTATAAATCCCCTATAACCACATGCCTTCACCCATACCATGCCTCTAACTCATTCCTGCCTCTCCCACCCATACTGCCTGCTTCTAAAATTCCCCCACAACCACATGCTTTCACCCACACCATTGCAACCAACAACCTACCCCCACACAATCCGCATGTGCAACTCCTCCCATGGCCACGTGTTTACACCGATACCATTTCCCCACAACCGCCAAGCCTTTAGTGCCAAATTTCCCCGATGACCTCACCTGCACATGTTACCTGACCTTTCATCCTAATGTGCCATCCACATACCTAATCATTTGGTTACCCACCACACTCATTACCACCATCTGCACAATTGCCTACCCAGTCGCCCATCATCTTATCACCACCCACACCAGGCCACTCACAAGTGCACCTTTCACCCTCGCCACTTCTCCCGCAGCTTGAAGCCCACATAGCCCCACACCTTACTCATTCTTTCATTCACCATTTCCCCACAGTTTCTATCCCCCATGCCCACACCTTACCCATGTTTTCCTGACCCACCCACCTTAACATGCCATTTACACTCCTAGTCATGAAGCCACCAGCCACCCTAATTACTGCCCACACCAGTTGTACACTCACCAACTCAGTCACCCATCATCCACACTGCCACCCTCACTGGGTCATTGACACTGCCACCCACATGATCATTATCACACCATCAGTTGCTTCCAGCCTCCATCCCTACACAACCCCAGCCTCATAGGTACATATGTAAATGAAAAAATGACTTGTATATATAGGGTTCACTACTATGCATGGCTTCAGGCATCCATAGTACATCTTGGAATGTATCGCCTGTGGATACGGGGGGACTGCTGTAATTCCATAAAATGGCTAATAACGTGAATGTGTTTTGTACAAAAATTCTTAATTTATACCTGTACAAGAGTGGTTTCAGACCCTGGGTGATCTTTTGACAATGAACTTTGTGTGTTTAAACTTTTTTATTCACTTTAATTATTTTGTTTGTACACAGCTCCTTCAGGCCAAGTTTGACGACTTTAAACATCGTGTTGAGGCTGGGTCAGAACGTTTCAATCAGTGTGATGAACTGGCCAAGAAACTTATAGCGAATGAAAGCCCTTATGCAACTGAAATAGAAAGAAAACAGGAACAGTTAAGGTAAACGTAATTGTCTGCAGCATGTATTGCATTGTAGAGCTGCATTGCTAAAATTAACTTAATTTTAGTTTAATATTTATTTGCTTTAATACTGTAATAATATGTACGTTCTTTTAGGAATTGTGTAATAGGTAGAGTAAAGGCTAGGAAAGAAAGTGCACTCAGATAGTATGAGTTAACCCTTAAAAAATCCTGTATGTACTGTATTATGTGAGGGTGTAAAACTGAAAGTCTTGTAGCAGCGTTGATAAAACTATACGAGGTATACAAAGACTTGGGAGATGTATATTATCTACAAATGAATCCTTGAGCTTCACATGCATTAAACATTTACAAATGTGAGAAGGGGGTGGGGGGAGTAACCAGACAATGTGTTGCTCAAATGATAAAAATTAAATTCTTGGTTCACTGCAATTCAGAATTGAAACTGCACAAATCCAGTGAAGGATACAAACTTGTAACAAACTTGAAAAATGGGAGGAATGAGTGTATCAATGTCCTCTATTGATTTATTGGGTCTTTGAAAGTCCTGATCATCTTTATCAATGGACCTTCCCATGTTAGAATTTTCAGGAGCGTTTTCACTTTAGTTTGGCATTTTCTTACCTTAATTTACTGTCACTAGTATGCTCACATTTTTTATGAAAGCTTAGCAATCATAAATTAGCATCCTTTCATGCTACAAATACAGTAGGGCCCCCTTCTTTACAGTGTTCCATTAATACGGCAATTTCAAATTGTGATCAAAACACACTATACGGCTCCGTTTTTCTAATATGGCTCGCCCCACCCTGTTTGTTTACATTTTCTGTGAGCACATCTCTCTATTATGTCTGTACAGTTTCCAAAATTTCAGGGGTGTTAAAGTTATTGCATATTTTATGTATACAGTAGGGCCCCACTTGTACGACAGGTTAGGTTCCAGGCTACCGCCGTAAAGCGGAAATCGCTGTAAAGTGGAACACCTGTTTTTTCCCTTATAAATGCATACAAATACTAAATAATAAGTTTGCACTAACATATATTAAGTTAGCAATAGAACTAGGTATCAGAAAACAATAAAAAAGTAAAATACACAGTGCGCTCATTACTTACCTTAAAATATTTGTAGTCTTAATCTAGGGTGAGACGTAGTATTTATTGTAAGAAATCAAGTGTGGTATTGTATGGTAGTCAGCCAGGCTAAGATAGCAGGCCACCCCACCTACACATAATATTCTATTACATTTAAACATTCCAGAGCGATAAAATGCATATACAGTTCACTCAGTACTTACCTTAAAATATTTGCAATCTTAATCTAGGGTGAGATGAGTAGTATTTATTGTAAGAAATCAAGTGCGGTATGTATGGTAGCCAGCCAGACTACTCCACCCACACATACTATTCTGTGATATTTAAGCATCCTAGAGCGATAAAATGCATATACAGTTCATTCATTACTTAAAATATTTGTACTCTTAATGTAGGGTCAGAGGTGAGTAAACGAGATAAAACGAATAAATGAGAGGGAGAGAGAATGAGTACATGAGGGAGGACAGGCGCAGAGTTATGTAAACAAACCAGGCGAATGTAAGTTTTGTAAACAGTATACACGTCCGGTTTGTGTACAAGTTAGTGTGTACAGGTTGTCTCTACATTGATAAAGTAGAATAAATAAAGAAAAACACTCCCATTCTCATGTAACACCATTTTTAGAAGAAATGACGCTCTGAGTGAAGGCAATGGAAATAAGTCACTCTCCGACTTTTTTTGGGTCATCCTAGGTACTTTACACATATGCTGTTATGTATGATAATCTGTGTAACTGTATTTGTATATACCTGAATAAACTTACATATCAAATTGGGGAGGAGGAGTATGGAAGAAGTGAATGTTTTCAGATGCTTGGGAGTTGACGTGTCGGCGGATGGATTTATGAAGGATGAGGTTAATCATAGAATTGATGAAGAAAAAAAGGCGAGTGGTTCGTTGAGGTATGTGGAGTCAAAAAAATGTTATCTATGGAGGCAAAGAAGGGAATGTATGAAAGTATCGTAGTACCAACACTCTTATATGGGTGTGAATCTTGGGTTGTGAATGCAGCAACGAGGAGGCGGTTGGAGGTAGTGGAGATGTCCTGTCTAAGGGCAATATGTGGTGTAAATATTATGCAGAAAATTAGGAGTGTGGAAATTAGGAGAAGGTGTGGAGTTAATAAAAGTATTAGTCAGAGAGCTGAAGAGGGGTTGTTGAGGTGGTTTGGTCATTTAGAGAGAATGGATCAAAGTAGAATGACATGGAGAGCATTTAAATCTGTAGGGGAAGGAAGGCGGGGTAGGAGTCGTCCTCAAAAAGGTTGGAAGGAAGGGGTGTGGGAGGTTTTGTGGGCGAGGGGCTTGGACTTCCAGCAGGCGTGCATGAGCGTGTTCGATAGGAGTAAATGGAGACGAATGGTATTTGGGACCTGACGATCTGTTGGAGTGTGAGCAGGGTAATATTTAGTGAAGGGGTTCAGGGAAACTGGTTATTTTATATAACTGGACTTGAGTCCTGGAAATGGGAAGTACAATGCCTGCACTCTAAAGGAGGGTTTTGGGATATGGGCAGTTTGGAGAGATATATTGTGTATTTTCGTACGTATATACAGTGGACCCCCGATTCGCGATACTAATCCGTTCCTGAGGGCTCATCGTAAACCAAAAATATCGGAAAGCGAATCAATTTTCCTCGTAAGAAATAATGGAAATCAAATTAATCTGTGCAAGACACCCAAAAGTATGAAAAAAAAACTTTTACCACATGAAATATTAAGTTTAATGCAATAGAATAGTAATTACAATAACAACAATAACAAATAACGAATAATTGACACTTACCTTTAATGAAGATCTGGTGATGATTGATGGGATGGGAGGAGGGGAGTGTGTGGATGGTGTTAGCATTTAGAAGGGGAATCCCCCTCCATTAGGACTTGAGGTAGCAAGTCCTTTTCCGGGGTTACTTCCCTTCTTCTTTTAATGCCGCTAGGACCAGCTTGAGAGTTACTGGACTTCTGTTGCACAACATAACTGGAAGCCTCGCCATGCCTAATCACACTATGTATGCCACTACGATTCTTAAATCTTTCAAACCAACCTTTGCTTGCCTTAAATTCACTCGCATCACCACTAGTTGCAGGCAATTTTTTTTACCAAATCGTCATGCAGCTGCCTAGCCTTTTCACAAATGATTGCTCGAGAGATGCTATCTCCTGCTATCTGTTTTTCATTTATCCACACCAATAACAGTCTCTCAACATTTTCTAACACTTGCGGTCGCTGTTTCATAATCACAGTTGCACCTTTTGCAAGAACAGCTTCCTTGATTGCCGTTTTCTTGCTCACTATAGTAGAGATGGTTGATTGGGGTTTACTATACAACCTGACCAGCTCCGACACACGCACTCCACTTTCATACTTTGCAATTATATTTCTTCATTTCAACAGTCATTAGCACCCTTGGTCTCGAAGGGTTGGCACTGGGAGCTTTCTTGGGGCCCATTGTGACTTATTTTGCAAAAACAGGCACCAAAAACAGTGATAATGTGGAATGTACCGAATGTATCCTTAGATGCGCGCACACTGGCTGGCTTGTAAACACTGGCACACACGGAGCAGTTCAGGCCACACATGGACACGTCTCGTACAAACCACATCGCATACCGGGTTTTGTATTGGGAAGCGAGGCAAATTTTCTGCGATATAATGCATCGGTTACTGGATTTATCGGATACCGATAGCATCGCGAACCGGGGGTCCACTGTACTTCTAAACTGTTGTATTCTGGGCACCTCTGCAAAAACAGTGATTGTGTGTGAGTGAGGTGAAAGTGTTGAATAATGATGAAAGTATTTTCTTTTTGGGGATTTTCTTTCTCTTTGGGTCACCCTGCCTTGGTGGGAGACATCCGACTTGTTGAAAAAAAAAAAAAGTTATGTATCATGTATATTATATAATTTTGAAAAAAAATATCCTGGATGGATTAATGAAAATGTGTATATTAACGTAATATAAGACATTTAATGAGACTGTGATTATTATCATTATTACTAATATGTCTTAAGAGACATAAGAGACACGGATTTTAATGTGTATGTGCATGCCAGTACAGTATGTAAGTTTATTTAGGTACAGGTATACATAAGTATAATTATCAGAGTATAAATATGAAATAACTTTTACAAACACTTGAAATTTTGGAGTTTTCAGACATAATGGAGAGACTTAGTGCTTATGGATCTCACATAGAATGTAAACAAACTGGGTGGGGCACAGTGACCATATTAGAAAGACAGGTGAGGGGAGCCATATAGAGAGTTTTGGTTATAACTTGAAATGACCGTATTAGCAGAACGCCGTAAAGCGAAACACCATAAAGTGGGACCCTACTGTACTCTGATAATTATACTTGTATGTATCTGTACTAAAATATACGTACACAATGTGCTGGCGGTTGCAGGTACACATTAAAATATCTGAGTGTCCCACTAGTCTTAATGCCATAGTAATAATACTAATACATAATAATAATCATTCTTGGGCACATTAAAAGTCTTATTTTACGTTAATACAGACATTAATAGACATTTTCATTAATCCATCTATATTTTCTTCAAAATTATATAAGACACACGTTACATAACGTATAAACATGCTGTGTTTATAGGCTGTGGAGGTGTGGTAGTCGGGTGGAGGGAAAACGTTACGTTTTCTCTGGTCCCACACCAGAGAAAATGTGTGTGAATCTACGTTTGGCCCAGTCATTCCCCTTAACACAACGCTTTTGTTTACAATTCCCGGCATGAATTATTCATTTCTTCTCCCTTTGTTTATGATGGCATCTAAAGGTAGTTATTACAAATGATTAAACTCAGTGAACAAGATATGTTGATATTAATATGGCTCTGGGATACATTAAATATTGTGTGTAGCTATGTAGGTAGGTAGGTGCAACTATGTAGCCAAGCGGACTACGTAGCT